CAAACCCCAAACCCCAAACCCTAAACCCCAAACCCCAAACCCCAAACCCCAAACCCCAAACCCCAAACCCCAAACCCCCAACCCCAAACCCCAAGCCCTAGACCCCAAACCCTAAACCCTAAACCAGGGAGCCCTACGTGTCGGTGGTCTCCGTCACCGGCGGGGTTATGTAGGGATAGGGCTGCTCTAGGCTCGCAGGAGGCTGCGGGACCCCTGTACCAGGGAGGGTGTAGAGTGCAGATAAAGGTGGAATGCTGTGTATGAAACGTTGTGTGCTAGTGTGTCTGTCTGAGTGATACGACGCTACAATGCTATGTCATGTTGTACAAGGGGGCTTGATGTGATCCGAAAGGAAGCATGGCCTTTCTACAGAACCAGTTCCGGTGTCCGCCTATGTTGGGAGCTCGAAGAACCTAACGGACCTAACGGATGTGCGAGGACCTTTCTCTCGGTCCTGCTCGGACACAGCCTCCGTGGGGGTGCATACATGGCAGCCGTTACGGTAGTAATAAACGTCTCTCTCCCAATGCATTGACACCTGGCCTACAGGGGTACCTCACTTATAAGAAAGCGCCCCTACCCCCCTCCCAAGGACCACCAAGGGCCCTAGGCATCGGCCTATGGTACGGTCCTAGGGGGAGGCGGTTTCTTATGAGCGAGGTAGCCCTGTACATGGTGTCAGGCCGTGTTGATAGTAATGAACGTCTCTCTCACAAAGCATCGACGCCTAGCCTACAGGGGTACACTGAACCTCACTCATAAGAAAGTCGCCCCCCCCCCTAGGACCACCACAGGGCCCTAGGCATAGGCCTACTGTAGGGTCAGGCCTTCTGTAGGGTCCTAGGGGGCGGCGCTTTCTGATGCGCGAAGTACCCCTGTACATGTGTGCCTGTCCTGCTACGCTTTGGTGCTTTGGTGCTTTTCTTTACACTCACATCGAAGGCCACGCCCACCTCACTCTTGAGGAGTTGGGAACGATCTACGGGTGAGCTCCCCGACCCACCTATGCTACTTTAGACGTGACCGGGAGCAATCATAAGTTAACACCCTTGCAGAATAGCCCGAAAACGGGCTATTCTTCCAAAAGTTGACCTCGCGGCAGTGAGGAGTTGACTTTTGCGATTGACCACCCTCAGGTCTAGCGTAGACCACCCTTCGGGCGTTGTGTCGACAGGGTTCGATGTACTGTTCAGTCCCTCACGTTTCACAGGTAACCTCCGTGTGCAGTGCTCGCGGCTGTTGGCTGTGTTTGTGTTTTTTGGGCACCCCCAAACCCCGTCGGTCTCGCTCGGTTCAGAGAGACTCCTCTCACCCACTGAGGGTAGGCTGGGGTGACTACGTCCCCTACACCTTACACCCTAACTCAAGCCGCCGCACGACTCGCCCTGCAGTGTCTTATCTCTACCTTCCTGGGCAACCATGCATGTAACCCCCACACACTTGTGTACTGACTCTTGGTAGGAGGTGGAGTTAGGATCCATCCGGAAAATGCTCGTATGAGCGGCCGACACGGGGTACAGTAAGTGGCACAATGCGTAGCATGTGCGGCGCTGACGCTGATTGTTTGGCAATAAATCATCAGTCTCTACTGACTCTTGATCAGGGCCGCCCCAGTTGACCAATAACCCACCTGCCCTGTGGTAAAGCTATCTTGTGCAATCCGGACGTGATCCCGGTCACAACCCATAACCGAGATATCTCGAAGCAGAGAACACGCTCCCTCTCGTAGGACACTTCTAGGGTCTTAGTTACCACGCCAGATTCCAGGAAGGTGTCGCCGAAAGTCAATTTCCCCTGAAGGCAGTTGTTTTCAAAAGTCAAATACCGTACCAGGGTACGGTATTAAGACAGTCACCACCCTCCTCCAATCTGGCGTGGTATAGGCCTACAGTAGGAGGCGTGTGTTAAAATTTGAGTGTAGGGTTTAGGGTTCAGGGTTCAGGGTTCAGGGTTCAGGGTTTAGGGTTTAGGGTTTAGGGTTTAGGGTTCAGGCCTACCGTGAGGTACCTCACGGCCTACCGTGAGGTACCCCGGTAGGCACCAGACCGGCAGCAGGGACAACCAACCTCCGATACTGGAGTAAATCGCTCATAAGAAAGCGCCCCCCACCTAGGACCATCGGAGGGCCCTAGGAACAGGCCTACTGTAGGGTCCTAGGGGGGGGGCAGTTTCTCATGAGCGAGGTACCCCTGTACCGCAAACTGGTACCTCCAGGTACACATCCGCCAAGATCTAATCTAGGAAAATGACCGAATCAGAGGGGGCCCAAACCCTTTGAGCCATTGCTATGGGAATCTGAAAACCCCCAAAACATGTGTGCTCTAACTTTTGAACCCCTGGGCCGGTTTCACTTTTCTCGACGGTTCCGGATTCCTCATCACGCCCTCTCCAAACCCACTCTAAGAAATATCTCGAGCGGAGTACAGGAACATGCCAAAAACTCGCCTTGATCGTGGAAAGTTGACTAAAATGGTGGGCCTGTTTCCGGGCCTCTGGCGCCCTATATTCTATGAGCGGGTTTGAAGAGAACATCACGGGGATTCCAGAACCGTTGAGAAAAGTGAAAGCGGCCCTCTGGGTCCAAAGTTACAGCCCAGAGCGTCCCACGGTGGACCTGATGGGCCCGCCTCGGGACCCCAGAATGACGGTAGAGCCCTTGTAACTCGTTCCCTGAAATGTGGCACCCAGGGGTTCCAATGGCAAAGTTTCTCAGAATCTCGAGGGCTA